CATTCCTTCCCCGGACGGGTGGGCTGCAGTCACACCGTCGCTCCAGGGGCCAGAAATCTGTATCGGCTTCATGCTATAAATCCCAAACATTTAAGACCGGCAAGACAAAGACACTTTGCGTATGTCAAAATTAGACACCGTAGTCTGCGATTTGTTTAGTTATCAGAAGAAGGCACCAAAGCAGGTATGAAAGGGCCGCACACAGGGACTGGGCAACTCTGTCTCGAGTATTAACTGAAGAAATACTAGGTTAGACCAGATGGAACAGCAACACCGGAATGATGTGTTACTTCTGGGAGGGAAGCTGGACCACCTTAGCAATGGACCGAGTTACGCCACACTCAAAGTCCAAGGGGATTTTCTTTTTTTTTTTTAAACGCAGAGTAAACAAAACAACTGAAACTCATGATGATCCTAGCAACGATGAGGACGTGTGCTCTGCCTGGTCTCCCGGGACAAAGCAGGGCTCTTCGCCAGGGAGCCCGCGCCCGGCGTTCTCTGCCACGTCCGTGAGCAGTCCGTCCCCTCGTCTCCAATCGTCCAGTACGAACTATCTACGGGCTCGTCCCATATTATCTGTTTTCCATATTTGGGGCGGGGCGGGTAATTTCTATTTCAACTAGGATTAAGAGAAAACAGGGAAGATGGCATTCTGCTTTCTGGATTTAAAACAGACCATGTCCAGACTGCACTCTTTTGAGTCATGAATACATATCTGCGTTGTGCCTTGATGCCTTTAGTTTTATTATGGTTAGTACTCAACAAGCACTAATATTAGCCTTCTACTGCTCGAAGAACACACAAAAACGTTTTCCCAGACAACACCCGAGAGATCTTTGAGTGGATTATAGACATTCATGCCCGTGAGACCGTTCAAACGGTGAGGCCAAATCTCTCCATTCATGCACAGAAGGAACCGGCTCAACACAGAGTCACTGTTCGGACAGAGGAAGGGACAAAGCAGTCCTCTGAGACTTCCGCCAACTGGCACAGGTTACACTGAATGAACAATACGTACTGACATTTGTGTCTTCCACAATTCATGATAAATAAGCAAACGGGTTATTTGTAATCAGCCAAACTTGCTGCTTTGAAAAGGCTGCTACTGGACGCTGCGGAGCTCATGTGCCTTCCCAGCATCAGAAAGGAAAAAAACCAAGTTACATTTATAGCTTGCATTATCGTTTCAAGCTCTCTTCTAGCAATCACATCTCTTTCCACAGGGCAAAGGCTGAACCAGGACTTCTCAACCTCTATTAAATTATCCTACTTTCCTCGGGGTGATCCTACAGGGGAATTCTGTGTCCAACATTTGTGCAACTTTGAAACTAACCCTTCTCGTTAAAATGAGAGCTAGGCCGTGTGAAGCGGACCCTGAACTGGGTTGGCAGGCACTGCTTTCGGATCAGACGGATGTTTTGATGTTTATAGTGTATGTGTTACAGAAACGGGCTGGGAGAGAACAAAGTCTGGGGACAGAAACTGTCGGCTTTCTGCCCCTTAGCCTGCGGTGACCAGCACTGAGGAGCAGGACCCCACTGCCATGGCCTCGGCCATCTCACAACACCGCGGTGAAGAAAAAGGAAAAAGCGGAGCAGCATCTAATCAGCTTCAATAAAGTCACTCGTAAAGGACTATAAATGTAAATCAAAGAAACAGTTAACCTTCATATTTGATTCTCAGAGCAAAAAACTCTGAAGTGTCGAAGAAGAAAGGGAAGGAAGGGACGTAACTGCTCTAGCATGTCATTAGGCAAGACAGCAAGACCGTCTGAGAAAACACACAGCTCTATCCCCACCTGCAGCTGTCAGTTAACACTGTTAGGGAAGGAGCTTATTCTAACGCCCCCTAAAGCCTCGCTACGCTGCATTCCTACAGCTGCTCTCGGGGACCCCAGTCTATCCGGGCAGCGCACACACCTGCATCGGGACCAGTGTGCTTTCCCCACAGGGAGAGCGCGCCGACAGGGAAAGTACGGCATTTGAGTTGCATTCCGTTTCTGTCTTTAATCCCTTCATTTCTGAAAGTAACGGGATTTATTATTCGGGTGGGCTCTAGATTTGTTCAGCCACCTCTCTTAATGAATGCAAATCCTAACAAATCACTATCAATTCTGGGGACATTTCTTTATTGTGGTGGGAACAGAGGCCTCATGGCGGACTCGGTCTGTCTGTCCCTCCACCGGAGGCTAGATTTGTTCCAAAGAGCTGTCGGCAATATAAGTGAACTCACACCCCAGCAACAAAAATTATAGATCCTTTAAATTGGAGGTGGAAATATCTGAAAAGGCACTGACTTCTGCGTCAAGATCCCTGGCCAGGCGCTGGGGGAGCTTGGCTCTGCTGGCACCTGCTGGCAGCGGTCACCTGGCTCGTGCCTCACGAGATCAGGGTCCGCCTCTCCCGCCACCGTTTCTCAGAGTCCCCCAGAGCCTGGTTCCTCTCCTCCTGCTGTCAAGGTATTCAAATGACCCACAGTTTACAATGGCCATTCAGGTCTAAAATTCCACCTGGCAACCAGGGTCCCCGCTGAACCCTGAAGGACAAAAACCTCAGCCAAAAACCTCTTCAAAACATTTCCAACTGAGGCTGTAGGCTTCATATTTTTACTCAGTTGAACTGCACAGAAAGTGTCCTTGAACTAAGGACTCGACCCATCAAGTATTTATACTGAAAACAGATTCCCTACTCTAAAGCGAAGGAGCAGCTTTTTTCCAGTAAAACTGAGCCTGCCATCCGGGAATTTAACCGCGATCCTGGAGACACCCACGGACTGTCCAGTTAGTGAGCTGCTCGTCTTGCAGCATAGCTTCCGCCCTGCATGGAGGAGGCACCTTCGGGAATGGCAACTGAGATTTGCTTAATAAAAACATAATTAAGACGCTAAATGTAGAGTGCCCCCTACAAATTAGAACTATATGTAAAACATACTCCAATCTATTCGTTTGGCAAGAATCAATTGCACTTGAAGTGCCTTTATTCTGTTTATTTTTGAGTTACCTAAAAATAGAGACATAGAAATGCTAAAACTAACTCTATTTCCAGACATTTCCATTGTAAGTACTATTAAGGCAGTAATGGTGGATGGCTAAAATTTTTCAAAAAGGACAGACTACTAACTACTGATAGTGAATCTTTACTAGGGGAAGAGTTAACGGCTCAGGGCCAGACCGTGCTGTCGATGGCTCCGCTGAGTGACCCATCCAGTAATACAGCACGTTCTAGAGCTATGCTGTCCAATGCGGCAGCCACCCGTACACGCGAGCGTTGCAGTTTAAGTTAATTAAAAGTAATTAAAATTCAAAATTCCCATCTTTGGTCAGGCTTGCCGTATTTCAAACATTTGCTAGCCCCTGTGGTTGGTGACCGGCATCCCAAACAGCACAGGTCCAGGAGAGCCTGCCGCTGAGCTTAGCCCGCACCTGGAGGGGACCATGGTGCACGTCTAAAACACCCCTAGTTCAAGTTATAAATACAAACGAAAGCTTCAAAAATCAGATTTAAACAATCGTCTGTATCATGTGCAATTCCAGCAGCTCATTATTAATTATTAAAGTATTTTAAAAGTGCTGCCCACAAGAAAGCACACAAATGAAAAGAAAAGGGACTAATGGTTAGAGGATGGCAAAGATAAAATGGCTCAAGACTGATTTCACTGAAAGTACCAAAAGGGCATTAACCGGGTTCTTCAAAAACTGTGCTTTGGAAGTGCAACTTGATTGAATGAAAAACCCAACTGTCGCTTGTGTACCATCTACCGATGGGTCAGGGGTAAGGGTCAGCTGTGTGTTCCTCATCACAAACCGGCCTCAGGTTTCCTGGGTGAAGGGCGCGCGGCTTCCAACGCTCAGATCCTGAGCACTGCACAGCCTGACAAGGCCAAGGAAAACTATTCAATGAAAAGGCTCAGTCACATTACGACACAGAGTCCAGCTGTAAGTTTGATATTTTTGAACATTAAAGTCGAATTGTCATAGACATGGGCATAATCTGGCCTTCAGATTGAGCTGAGACTAGTCTCTTATAACATTAAGTAGGAAAACTATTCTCCATCTCATGAAGACCAAAACGGGCCCTTCTGAAGAAGATCTAAATGGATATTAAAATTCTACCATAGAGATATATCAAACATCTGTATGTGTGGTCAGTAAAATGGTAAATTCATGGTATAAATAAAAAAAAAAAAATCCAGACATTTGGGATCTCCTTCAATTGGTTAAGACAATTCAATAAATAGAGCACTTTAATTGAAAATTAGATTCAATTAAGTAATATAAATTTTTAGAAAGATTATGAGTCTAACAATTTCAATGTTTTAAAGAAATCTCAAAGGAAGGGAGGGGGCGCCTGGGTGGCTCAGTGGGTTAAGCCTCTGCCTTCGGCTCAGGTCATGATCCCAGGGTCCTGGGATCGAGCCCCACATGGGGCTCTCTGCTCAGCAGGGAGCCTGCTTCCCTCTCTCTCTCTGCCTGCCTCTCTGCCTACTTGTGATCTCTGTCTGTCAAATAAATAAAATCTTTTTTAAAAAAAGGAAAAAAAAAGGAAGGGAGGTAGTAAATTCAGCTCCACTGAGATCATACTTTGCCCACGGGTCTCCCCTGTGCCCTGTAAAAACCTTTATGATCATGTTATTAAAAACAATACCTTTTCTACATTAGAATTTTACAACCTAGGTCTGAGCTAAAAATTTCAAAGTGTGGAAAATCCAAGCATCATAACCACTACTAAAGATTTTGCCAACATCATACTTTTCTCTGGATATAAAGCTGGAAAATACTTGTACTGGCTTACTAATAAATTATAAGCAAGAACAGGCATTCAGAACATAACAGGATATCAGCAAAAAACCCAGCTGTGCAGCCCAATTAAAATAAAAGCAATATGTAAAAATAGCTTCACTAACACCACTAAAGTATTTAACATCTCTTCCCAGGTAATTCAGGAGAGAGGATGAAAACTGTTCCCAGGGCCCTCCCGCCCCCACGCAGCCTACAAACTCACCATCTTTAAAATCGCCCCGTAGAGCCGCAGGAGCACTTTCCGAGGCTCGTCACCAATGGTGGCCACGGAGTCAGGAAAGGAGCACTGGAACAGCATGTTACTGAGGCCACCTCTGTGGAAAGGAAGAGGACAGTAAGCATCGGAGTTTGAAAGGCAGGTCACCCGCCCTTCTCGGACGATGACGGCTGAGACATCAGGGCCCCATGGCCACTGCTCCCATCAAAGACCCGATCGGCTCTAGGGACACCTGCAGGACACACGATGAGCTCCAAGTATTTGGCTCAATCTCAGAGTCCCATGACAAACAGCAAATTCCCTATCAGTTCTTAGCTTGACGCCGGAGGGGAGCTCTGTGTGGACTGCAGGCGTGCACCTGCGCAGGCCGAGCGCCTCTAGAGAATGAGCAGGACGAAGAGGGCCCCGCGCCACACCGGGGGTGGGGCATCCGAGGTGCGTTCCTGCAGGCTCCTGCTCTGGTGATCCCAAACCTCCACTCTATCCCCATAACGACCAGACTAAAATCCTGGGGCAGTACTTAGTCCACCTCCCCGAGGCCCGTCCACTTGAAGCGTATATAGTTCCACGTTCTTAAAAACATCGCAGCCGATTTCGACCAACAGCCTTTTCAAAGAACTTGCAGCATTAACCGGCTCTGGGCCGCTCAGAGGAAATGATCGGAGATCGCGGCGCCCGGAACCTTGCACTCTGACCACGAGAGACAGGAAACAAGTTACAGCGGTCATTTAAACAGCAGGGGAACCGCTCTGGGGACAAAGCACCTGCGTGGGTCGAGAGGAGGGGCAGTTAATGGAGGGATGGGGGCTGAAGGAATACGAGAAGCCGCACAGTTGGGAGCCCCAGCCGCGAAGCACCTCGCCTGCACGCTGGCCCCGCCGCAAGAAACAGCCTCTGATGCAGACAAACCAGACACACAACCGTCAGAGCTCCAAATCCCGGGCAGCGCGGGGCCGCACGCTCCTGCGAACTGAGTCCACGCCCGCCTGCAGAGGGGCGGCGTCAGCGCCGGAGACCCTCGACTCCGGAGAGAAAGTGACCGGGAGAGCAGACCGCAGCCACCCGGAAGGACAGCCCGTCACAGGAGCCGCCAGCTCCTCCGCAGCCAGTCCCGTCCCGTCACGCTGTGCCCCCCGAGGCGAGACTAAACTACGCACCTAACTTACAGCATCAGCTAGAGAAGCACACAGGGAGCACGAGGACACACGGCCAAGCACTGCTGAGAGCGACGAAATGCAGACCTAGACACGGCGTGGGGAGAAAGGGGAGCAGCGAGAAATTCTTCCCTGGAGGGTTGTTAATGCCGGTGCACGTGAGCTGACGGTGCTGAAAAGGCCGCTTCTGCGGCAGGCGCCCTCCTCCCCTCCCAGGTCTCATTCCCGCAGCAGCGCGCCCGGCACGAAGGCTGTCCCGCAGCTGCCTTGACGGGCAGGCGTGCCCGTGTGACCAGGTGCTGACAGATAAACGACTTCTGGAAGTCAACGGCGGACGTCCTCGTGGCCTTTGTCCCTTTCTCCCTGTCCTCCATCCTGCTGTCTGCAACCAGGAGAGGACAGTGTGTCAGTCACGAAGCTCTTGTCTCCGAGCCCCACGTCCACACTGCTGTTGCCCGCGGGGATGCTGGGCCGGGGGCCCCCGCCCGTTATAAATCTCCTTTGCCAGCTGCTCCCAGCAGGGGGGTCTGCCAGCGTGGGGCCTGGCGGGAGGCCGGAAGGCAGGAGGAAGGAGACAGGCTGGCTTGCTGTTCTTGACCGAGCCCTGGAGTAGCAAGAGGGGAACCCCCCTTCTCCGGGATACCAGATCAGAGTCTGGGCCCCAGCTCCCGGGGTGCTCCTCAAGTCCTCAGATGCCAGCAACAGCCACGCGGTGCCCTCTTCACAGGGACGGGGGGCCCAGCTCCAGGGTCCGATAACCCCCACCTTCCCTTGGTCCCCCAGCCCAGGGAAGGGGCTGCTTCCTGCAGTTCTCTGCACCACGGGGTCCCATTTCTGCTTCGTTGGTCCTCTAATGCCTGTTCACCCAATTCCCTCTATTAAATTCTCTATGTTGAAATGTCTAGTGCTGTTTCCACTTCCGTGCCGGCGTCTGCATGGGCACAGATGGCCAGAGCTTTCAGCTTCTTAGATTGTGGGAATGAGCCACAGCCTAGGAATGGCTGAGCGTTAGCTGAAAGGAGCCCACATCTTCATCAAGCCCAGGGAGCTGCCACACCCGCCCAGCCTGTTTACTTCCAGACACCTTCACACAGAGGGAAATAAATTTCTGTGTTGTTTAAGCCACGGTTACTCCAGGGCTTTCGCTATAAGCAGCTCAATCTAGTACTAAGGGATACAGCTTATCACAATCCCCTCACTGGTGCTCTCCCGATCTGCAAACCCCTCCTTACCCTTCTCTGCTACCTAAAAACTCCCTACAGTTTACCACCAGGTTCAAAGTCCAATGTTTGCAAGAAGCTTTCACCCTCTTCCTTGCTAACTCCTTGAAGACAGGGCTACTAGGGTCTCAATACAATTCTCAAGGCCCAGTAATGCCCAATGGTGGGTGCTCAGTAAAGCTTTTCTGAAGACGACGATAACCAGCAGCACTGTTGTCTCTTTTCTCCACACTCCCACCTGTTATGTCTGCCTTACTAGGTACGGTGGACTCGGCTTGGCTCCCTGATTAATTAGACTGTAAGCTCCCTAAGAGTCCTGGGGGAAGGCACCATGCTACAAGAAAGACCACTGGCTTCAGGGCCAGGGATTCAAATCCCAGTACTGCCACTTACTAGCTGTGTGATCTTGGGCATATCACTAAACCTCTCTGGGCCTCAAATTCGCCCCTCTGTAAAAGAGCTGCACTTTCTTTAGTCATTTTCCTTTTCTTGAGTGGGTGAAGGGGGCAGAGGGAGAGGGAATCTTTTTTTTTTTTTTTTTCTTGAGAGAAGGAGGGAGAGAGAGAACCTGTGTGGAGCCCAACGCAGGGCTCCATCCCATGACCCTAAGATTGTGACCTGAGCCAAAATCAAGGATCAGATTGATTCGACAGAGCCATCGAAGGGCCCCTCTGTAGTCACTTTAAGAGCTCCCTGAGGGGCGCCTGGGTAGCTCAGTCGTTAAGCATCTGCCTTCAGCTCAGGTCATGATCCCAAGGTCCTGGGATCGAGCCCCACATCAGGCTCCCTGCCTCTCCCTTTCCCACTCGCCCGGCTTGTGTTCCCTCTCTCATTGTTTATCTGTCAAATATATAAATAAAATCTTTTAAATAAATAGGTAAATAAATACAAGTTCCCTAGGCTGCAGTGTTCAACAGGTTAGCTCAGGTCCCCCCTCCACAGTCACGCAGGCTGGATGCTGATACGGCCTCCCATGTACAGATGAGGACACGAGACAGGGCAGGACAGCGCCGTGCCGGGCTAAGCACATAGGAGGTGCTGTGGGAGCCAGACAGTAACAGGATGAATGTGTACAAATGTGCACACAACAGAGCTCTTGGTCTCCTGGGACTGCTGTAACACAGGACCACAAATTTGACAGTTTAAAACAACACGAATTTGGGGTGCCTGCCTGGCTCAGCTGATGGAACGTGCAGCTCTTGATTTCAGGGTCATGAGTTCAAGCCCCATGTTGCGTGTAGAGATTACTTAAATAAATAAACTTAAAAAAAAAAAAAAGTGAATTTATCTAATGGTTCTAGAGTTCAGACTCCAGGAAACAGGTCTTCCGTGGCTAAAATTAAGATGTCAGCAGGGCTGCACACCCAAAGGATATAGCACATTCCAGTAAACTAAAGACACAGTCTCAACTCATGAATGTCAAAGGATGGTGCTCACCAGGGGGGAAAGAGGACTTGGTGTTTCATGAGGACAGAGTTTCACACCGGAAGATGGAAGCGTTCCTGAGATGGGGGTGAGGGTTGCACAACAGAGTGAACGCCCTTAATCCACTGGACGATACACTTAAAAATGGTTAAAAATAGTAAATTTCAGGCTATGTACATTTTACCACAATGATTTTTAAAAAGAAATGAAGTACTGACATGTGCTACAACATTATGCTCAGTGAAGGAAACCCAGTTCCACATTCTGCGATCTCATTCATGTGAAATGTCCCGAACAAGGAAATAACACAGACAGAAAGCAGATCAGTGAGTGCCCAAGACTGGGCCGAACAGGGCTGGGGGCCAGGGTTCCCTTCTGAGATAAGAAAAATGTTCTAAAATTGATTATGAGAGGACAGCTGCCCATACCTGTGAATATACTAAAACCCACTAGATACACACACTTTATTTAAATGGATGAATTATATGGTATGTGAACCATATCTCAATAAAGCACTTTTTAAAAAAAGAAAAATGGGGGCGCCTGGGTGGCTCAGTGGGTTGGTTAAGCCTCTGCCTTTGGCTCGGGTCATGATCTCAGTGTCCTGGGATGAAGCCCCGCATCGGGCTCTCTGCTCAGCGGGCAACCTGCTTCCCCAGCCCCCACCTGCCTCTCTGCCTACATGTGATCTCTGCCTGCCAAATAAATAAATAATCTTTTTTTAAAAAATAAATAAAAAGAAAAATGACTTTTTTCCATATGTAACGATTTTTCTTAGCCAATGAAAAACTCGAATGTGCTTCCACAAAAACTGTGTTTCCCAGATGTGAACAAAAGTCATATTTAAGAACTTCGTCAACAGCTTACAAGGCAATCATGAGCACCTGGGAATCTTCGCAAGAGTAACAACCTCTTTTCCCAAAATGCAGATCAGCTACCTACCCCAGCGAGGGAGGAACAGAGAGACCAGGGAACCCAAGGCTCTGGTTTTCCCCTAAGTGAGCCTTGAAGCACAGGGACAGTATGGAGGGAAGAGGAGGAGAGCAGCCTTAACCTTTCTTCTCAACTCAGGGCAATGCCTCTGGTGCGTGGCTTATCAGAAGTGCCCTGCCACACGGGCTCCCGGCTACCAGGCGACAGGACAGGCATCCCATCAGTTAAAAGCCCTCGTTTTCCTTCCTGTCACACACTCTTGAGGGTTCGGTCAGCAGCGAGAGCAAACAGATGAGCTACTGTTCTAAGTTGTGTAACTCCATTCAAAGTTTAATCCCGTGCTCCTAGAGAATGCAGGCGGGCCA